TATCGAACGCGATCTACGCCGCTTTTGCGTGCGAGCGATTACGGCGAGCGGTCGAGCCCACGAACGGGTAAGCGAGCAAGCGAAAGAGAGATACAGGGAGGACGAGAGGCTGCCGGCCCGGAGGACTTAGATCGAGGACGTCGAGAAGGAGATCGTGCTGGTGAAGTGACCCTCTTTATCAAAATTCTGTAAAGCCACGGGCAGGTCGCGGATCTCATTCGCACTCTGCGGACGGAAACGCCATTTTCGTGTTCGAGTCTCGTCGCGTGGGCCCTTTTGGCTACACGTGGTTCGTAGTATTTGGTTGTCGGCGTCCGTCCCCAAGTGCGAGGGTTCCCACATGAATCTGCCGTGGACTACCGGAAGTATCGTGAGTCGCGTATCGAGCCGCCTGGAGATCGTCGCAAATGTGCCGCAAAGCCCTTGTGCACGAGTGCGCGAGTTTATTGTAAGTGTGTGTGTCCGCGAGTTCACGAGTACCTAGCGTCTTCGCGTATTTCTATCGTGCGTGTGATTCCGTTGTGCATCGACGCAAGTAATTCATTGTTCGTTTTTCGTTTCCGTACGCGTGTCTGTCTTGCGAGCCTGTTATTGAGGCTACTCTGAGCATGTGTTCTTGACTATTAGCGGTGCCCGCGTCGTACCGAGATAGATTCTTTGATCGGACTCAAATGCCGTATTGTTTTGATCGCGTTTTCGTCTACCGGTCCGATTTGACCTAATTTAGCTTCGACGGAATAGATTAAGTGGTGCGCCGCGTTATTTCCGGTTGCCAATCCGGGCGTGCGCATGCGCCCGTCTATCACGCCGGTCAGCGCATCCCTCTACGAACGAGGTATCAGATCGAACGTGTGTTGGATCTTACTGGAGAGTGTGGAGGGAATAACTCGTAACGTTATGTCTACAAATCGTTTATTACCCCACGAATGACCCCCGGAAGTAGAGTCGTCCCTCGCAGAGCGACAACCCGTGTATATATATATATATATATATATCTCGGAGCGTTTCGCGAGGGCGCTAGTGTTTCTTACGCGCCCAACATCCTCCCTTCTTTATAATTGCCAATCGAATAAACTATAGAAAGATTTTGCTTGCTTAATCAACCAAATAAAATCAAAATTTATATCGCGTTTTCTGCTCCTTTAGTTGGGTATGTTCTTCTCTTCTCCCTTCATGTATATGTTAGCCTTTCTGGCGGTATCCTCTGTCGTGTGCTCCTTCTGGGTGTTGGTGGGACCTTCTGCCGGGGTCGCCGCCTCCTGGTCTGTTCTCTGTTCCCTCACTGGCTGTGGGGGTTTTGGTTCCTCCGAGGGAAAGTAGTCATCTTCTTCCTCTTCTTCCCTTAGTTTTATCTGTTTCCTGACAGGTTCCAGGTATGCTCGATTA